AATTTGCTGACTGAATGTTGCTTTTATAGAAATTCATGTTGTGCAGAATTAAAAACTGCTATGCTGCATGTTGCTATGGATAATTTGCTCAAACATGGAAGGAAACATTTCCTCTCTGCCTTCCCACCTATTTTCCTTTCTGAAAATGGGATATACTAAAATACATCATTTTGCTAAAAAGAGACATAAGGAGGATATGTGACGAAGAGGATTTGATTCCTGATGTTTACAGAGCATAAAGACCTGCCTTATTAAATAGATTCTTTGAATATTTGTGTTTAGCATCAAGTGAGATAACTTGTTTCCTTCAACCCAAATATAATGTCAGTGGATGTGAATTGTGCAGTTCAAAGAATTTTTGTATATTATTTCCTGTGATAAAGTTGCTGTAATTTACAGGTAAAATTATTCTGTGTATTCTGTTCTAATTTTTAATTAGAACACTTTCTATATATTAAGAAATAGTTGGCGCTTATATTTGTTTAGATAAAATATAAAGGACAGATTTTTTTTTTTATGCTTAAAAGACATCAAATTAGGGAATAAAGAGAATAATAGTGGTTTCGGCCTAAATATACTTGGATGTGAGAGAAAGAGAAGAGAGACATCCCTTCATAAGCAAAACAGGGGAAGGATAGAGAGGAGTGTGTAGCTGGGATTTTTTTTTTTCTTTGAAAGCACAGGTGATGACAAAGCTTAGCCATTCAAAGAATATTAAAGCTAGCAGTGCAGATTAGTAATATTTATATTAATTTATACACTGCTTCTGGGGGATATTAAAAGAGGTGAGAATCCTTCCGTGTGCTTACTACTGGGGGAGTTCTGAATCTGAGTGTAGGCTTTTAAAGTACCCCAGCAGTTCATAGAATGACAGAATATGCTGAGTTGGAAGGGACCCATAAGGACCATCGAGTCCAACTCCTGGCCCTTGCACGAGGCACCCCAAGAGTCACACCATGTGCCTGAGAGTGTTGTCCAAATGCTTCTTTAACTCTGTCAGGCTTGGTGCTGTGACCACTTCCCCAAGGAGCCTGCTTCAGTATTCAACCGTCCTCTAGGTGAAAAACCTTTCCCTGATAAGTAACCTAAACTTTTGTCAGTGTATTAATGATAACCATGCTTCTGCCCTTCCCTCCCTTTGCGTGTTTGGATGTGTATGAATATTTGTTTCAGCTTATTGGTTGGGGTTTTTTTCCCCCTCTATTCGGTGTGATTTATATGTGTGTCTAGTTCCATGGCAACAAGTGAAACCCTCAGCTTGGGTAAATACTCAAGTTATTGAATATGAAAACTGAAAGTTTTCTTTGTAGCTTTGGCTTTGCTCCATTTTGTTTGTTAGTTGGAGTATTTTTTATTTGTTTTAAACCTTCAGTGCTCTTGAAATTTTGTGTAATTTTTATGCTACATGAGATATTGATGTTTAGCATCCTCTTACTCTCATACTCCATTGAGGTCATGAGCAGAATGTATGTAAGTTAGTTCATACATTTAATATTGCATAATGCAGAGAGGAGGTTTGTCTCTGTGCTTGAATATCTAGAGTAGCTAGTCATTATCTTTGACCTGCAACTCTAAAAAGACACTGCCAGAGGAAAAGGTTCTCTAAGATTCAGGTACATTGGTACTACATTTACTAGTAGTAAGTTAGAGTTGCTTTTCTCTGATGACTTTCATAAAAAATGTTCAATTGTGCCTATCTTTGTATTTTTTTTTTGTCATTAAAGAAGCAGTGAAGTAATATTCCGTAAGGTAACAGTAGGGTTTTTTTTAAACTTTAGGTGAATTTGTGTTTGTTTGGGATTACTATATTTAGAGATCTATGGCTTTTGGAATTTTAATTTGAAGGAATGGTTCACAAGGTGTTATGTTTAAGCAGCAGATAGAAAAGAAAATCTTAATGATTCCACCCTAAGAAAAATGGCAATTAATTTGGAAGGAAAAAAACATGTTTTCACTGTTTACATGGACTGTCATATATAAATCCCAGGACAGCTATCAGAGTAATTTAGCAAGTGAAAGTAAAGCTACTTCCAAGTCTTTCAGTATCCCTATTGAGAAATACCTGTCACAATCTGAAAACCTTGGAATCATAGAATCATGTAGCTTGGAAAAGACCTTGGCAAATTTAACTGACATTTGTTTCAAAATGGGTTTTACTCTCTCAACCCATTTCCAGCAAATCTCCACTGCAAAATCTCCCATCAGGAAAGCAAGTTTCACAAAAGCATAGCTCACGACACTTATTTTACAAGTTGTAGAATATCTGTTTGTTTGTAAATTAAATTTTCTTTCAATATAAATTTTCTAATTTGTAAATTTTATTTCTAAACCAAATGTCATAGATATGAATTGACTGTGTATGTGTATTTATACTTCTGTTTTCAATCTGTGTAACTTTTTATGTTTAAGTAGGTGTTATCTGTGAAGTGTTGAAGCAAGACTCAGATATAAAAATATCCCTTCCTTCCTAAACATAATTTAAAATGTGACATCTGCATGTGTTGCATTTGTGTGTGCATATGGATAGTTACAGAAAACACAATAAAGAAGCAGGTTTGATTACAGGGAAGTCTGGAAATCAGGTTTGATTAATTACCACTGTAAATTGTTCTGGCATTGTGCCACCCTGTGAGTGCCTTGGTCTAATGGAGTGACAACTGCTGAGGGGAGGAAACTGCGCTTGGGTCTCAAAGTTGATAGCACAGTAGGAGAAATGGTTGGCTGTGGTTGTATGCTCGCAGGGTTGTTTTGAAAAACAAACCAACCCCAAATAAATAAGTAACACTACTTCCCCCAGCCCCCCCCCCAAACAAACAAAAACCCCTTACAACTGCTCCTTCCCCCCTGCCTGACTTCCCCCCAAATGCCCCATCCAAACATCCCAAGTCACTTACTGTTCAGTGAGAACACAGTGATGGCAGATCACAGAGAGTTTCTTTGTCCTCTCAGAAATGAGTGCTAAGGAAAAGCAGCTTGTCCGTGGTTTGGGTGGAGCATTTGATAGGAACACCTGAGATAGGAAGTGTTTGATCACTTGCATTTTAAAATAAGTCTCCTTAAAATTTTCAGTGTTTTCAAGAAAAAAAGTACCCAGTCTTGCTTAGGATATATGACAGACTAAGGAATGGCAAATTATATCTACTATGTCAGAAGAGAGCAGAATATACTTTTAGTTTTCCGGTCAGCTTTGTCAAGAGTTTTCTTTGGCTTGCTATTAAGATGTGCAATGAAGGCATCTTCCTAGAAAGGATGATTCTTTGGGGTTTTTTGGATATCATTAATGTTTAGCAACAGTTACAAGATTTTTCTCAAAAGAGCTGTGGATGTTTTATGTAGCTTACATACTTAAGAATTGTCTGATCTTTACATTAAAATGCAGTGGGGAAATTATTTTTCTTGAAGCACATACAGTTCTGAAGCTTACTCAGTCCAGTTCTGTTTTGCAGTTCATCTGTGCAGTTCTGCTGAAACCAGTGCAATAGAAATCAATGTGGCTTTCTTGTATCACAATGGGTGCTTTTCCTTCTTTTCTGAGCATTGATAAAAGAAATGTTCTATGTGTGTCTGTATTTTCTTCAAGTACTTATATGATTTTCGGGTCACAGACATTTCTAAGTCAGGATCAGAAAGCTCTGGTTTTTTCTGCTTGTCTTGTAGCTATGCAGTATGGATTAATGGCAGTTATTTACCTGATTTCAGACATACTGGATAAAGACAAACTGGAATTTACATCTTCAACTATGTCTTAATAAATTGCAAATTGAGCTAATGTTTGTAACTGTAATCAACTGATAATTTCTGAACTAATTTTGTCTCTGGCTGGTGACATGTTTAATGTTGAAAATGGTTCTCACTCTTAGTTCTGATTGAAGAAGTTTGAAATGTGTTGATAGATTTTTACATATTCATTTAAACATAATAAAATAAAATGGGCTTGTTAAAAGTGGCATCTGAGTAGGTGTAGTATCTAGGTAGTTTTTGACAGTAATCTGAATAAACTTTCTGGTCCACTAGAAAAAAGGGTGAGTGATGAACAATTTTTCAAGCATTGATACCACCTAGTGGTAAAAAATATTGTTACTTTTTTATGTAATATGTATTCAGAATAATATGAAGTTTGAGTTATATATAAAGAAAGGGGAACTAAACAGTCTGTTTTGCAACATTATCTATACATACAGGACTGCAAAAGTTGTTTTGAGAATGGGCAGCTAGAATATGAAAACTTGCACTTCACTGATTGATGCTGATAGGGATGTTTAGGGATAGATTTAGATACAGTTTTAAACATATTTACTCTGCACCATTAAAAGAATCATTAAATGCACAACTGAATGAGGGTTATGGGGACTTTGTACAGGTGTAAAAAAAAAAAGGTCCTTTTAACATAGGTGTTTGTTTGTTTGTTTAAATAAATCTGTCTTTGGACTAGAACTTTGAATTCAGGTAACATTGAGGGTGTGGATATGGGTTGGGAATTCCTGGCACAATCATCAAAGAGATTCTGCAGTGAACCAGGGCGGAGAGTTGGACTTGGGAAGCCCTGGCCTGGCAAAATATTGACTTAGATAAGTTCCCAGAACTGGTTCAGAATGGATCTGCAGCGTTCATCCTGTGGGTACAAGGAGAAGATGACGTGTGAAGGGGACAGGCCGAAGGAAGGCAGGGCTCCTGCTTCTGTAGGTGGTACCAGTGTGTGCCAGGCAATATTGACTACAGTGATGGGTGCTTTGTATAATGCAATCTGTCAAGATCAGATTATGGAAACTCCTTTCTCAGTAAAATGTTCTCCAATTACTCTTTAAAAAAATGAAAAATTTTAGCCCTTTCAATTACAGTAGTATGTGAAACTGTCTTATCCCCATCTGACGTAGGTCCAGTTATAAAGTTATGTTTATCCTTGTAACACCTGTAATGTGAAGATTAACATGTAAAATAGTAACAAAGCTAATTCTGACTGATGTATGTAGGCTGTTTTATTTTTCCCCTTTCGTGTATAGGTACTTGTTTCACAGTGGCAATCCAGAGCATCCAGGAGACATACTTCTAAACACGACTGTAGAAGTTTTGCCTTTCCAGGTATGAATGTATTGATTTCTGTCTTCCTCATTACAGGATAAAAGCAAAATCTCTTCATTGACTTTTTTAAAAGAGTAAGGGAGACATAAATACTTGTTTTGAGTGTATGATCTTTTTGCTCTGATGCTCACAATTTTTCTTCTTTTAATTGGATCTGTTCACAGAAGACTATGGTAACTATTCAGATGGTCATTCAGAGTGCAGTCTACTACAAGTGCTGTTGATAATTTGGTGGTGAACAAAGTCATTTTTGTCCAGTTCACTGCTACTATTTAGAGCATAAAAACCCCCAGTCTTCCCTCTCCCATGTATTTTGAAAAATGGGAAACCTAACTCAGTCTGCTTTTTGACGTAGTAAAAAAGTCTTAATTCAGGAATTGACACACATCCAGACCATACTATATACTGAAATATATAGGTTCTTAAACGGAATGTGTACCTTTCTCCTGATTATTGATTTTTTCCCCATAAATCAGTCAGAGTTTTGTCACAGGAGAGCACTTCTTTATCTAAAGTATATTCTTGTTTGACACCAGATGGTATGGGTTCTTTTTCTTCAACCAGATATTACAGCTAACCACTTATATCACAGAAGTCTGTGAGAGGATTAAGATATTACTTTGGACAAGTTTATTTTATTTAGTACTAAAATGTTTTTCTATCTTCTCCCATTTACCTGGTGTAGGAATCTTGACATCTATGCCTAAATTGCCATATTCTGACTCTTTGTCTTTTAACTTACTTTTTGTTTATTTTTTTAAATTAAATAATTATGGAGGAGTTCACGTATCCATTTTTGCAGTCTGTCTTCCTTGGAGCGAGCAAAAATAGGAAATTATGACCACCCCCACCGCTAAAATGAAATTTGTTAGTTTGATTCTAATTATACAACATGACATGTGGCATATTATATCATAAGATCTGTGGGTTTTGTTTCTCAAGACCTGGAAATACATTTAACTACAAAAACAGCAGCAGCCCTCACTTCATCTAAGCCCAAGATACAACATGAATATACAAGGTAATGAGCAAAAATGTGCATCAAGCATCTCTTTTTTGGCTATACTTGGCTGTGAAATGTTCCTCAAACTGGAGCACCCCTTAAGGAAGTAATGCTACTGAGCTTCTATTGCTATTGATGCAATATGTGGAAAAGATAAACAGAAAATTCTCTATCTGGCCTGTTCCTAAGCCATTGGTGTCAACAAAAAATGTTGCCAGTATGAGGACAGCAACTCCTGAGGGACCTGTTTCTCCACGATGGACTTCAGTAGAGCTAGAAGCCCGTTCAGGTATTTCAACCCTGGTTCTCCTTAAGCAGAATTCAGAAAAACAAAAAACCCTTAGAAACCAGAATGCCCCCAGACTGTATTTGTCTGGGACTCAAGCAACAAATTTAAAAAAAAAGCCCCAAACCAACCCATAACAAAAAACTGCCCAAAACTCCCAAACAATAACAGCAACAACAACAAAAGAAAACCAAAACACCCACTCCCCCAAATAAAAAAAACCAACCAGACCCACAAAAAAATCCCCACCACTTCTTCAGCATCTTCCCTGCAAAGTAGGAATTAAAAAAAAAGAAGCTGATGGATTTAATCTCCTGTTTTGTCAAGCATTTTTAATTCATTCCTAGGAAATTCTTATAGTGGGTCTTTCAGTATTGGATCATGTGATTATGGTTGTAATTTTCAAGCTGTTTTTCAAGCTTTACTTTACAACTTAATTTTTGGTGCTTATTAAGAAAAACTTACTGATCCCCATCCCTTTTCAGTGAGGCAGTGATAATTGCAATAATTCTCTCACTGGTCTGATGGCTTTTCATCTCACCCAAAGTCTTAGATCAAAAAGTAAGCTGTAAGTTTCACTTGTCCTGAGAGAAATCTGGTCTTGTTCAACCATAGGAAAAGAAGGCAAGATCCTGCCTTTGCTTTTGTTCTACCATGTATGCCAGTATCTGCTAAGTATTGTGTTTGTGTGGCAGTTACCATGTGAGTTACATAGGGCACTTAAAGTACACACGTTTGTCTTTCCCTGGTGAAGTCATGTGTCAAATGATCTCTTTCATGCTTTGTTATTCTAGAATGAAGAACTGGTATTAAGCAAAGAAACCAAAGACAAACGCTTAGAGGATGGTTACTTCAGGATAGGTATGTCACGGTAGAAAGAAATCTGTATTGTTACTATTACAACGGTCAAGACATTTTCATTAAAACCAAAACAAACCTAAACCTGATTCTTGATCACTCATTTTTGGGTACATGACCTTGTAGGCTTTACTTAATATTGTTTTCGCTATTTCTTTTCTGAGACTGATGTACTAAACAAAGATCTGTTGTGACTCTCTTAGTTGAAGTGCAGCTACATTCAACTTTTCTGCCAGGATTAATCACCTAGATTATAGTAGAGGCATTTCCAGGTTGTATAAGATCACCTCTCCTGCTCTGTGACTGCACAAGTGCCTTGGTGTGCTGGATATGAACTCACTCTATAGAAAATCAGCTGTATCATCATAGGATGAGATTGGCATTTCCACAGCCAAGTGGGTTTTGGGGAAGGTGCCTGGATACATGTCAAGAAAGAGAAGTTTTACTCTTGGATTGTATTTGTTGCTGGACATAGGTTGGGCAGCCCTGTTATAATGAAAGCACGTTTTTTGTCTCAATAAATTACTGTAAATACACCGCCAGTATATTTGGTATTTTAAGATAAAATACAGTTTTTCCTTAGAGATCAAATTGTTGTGTATATGAGTGTAAAGTCTAACTTGGCTTTTAAAGTGGATTCTTACTCATCCTAATATAATTGAAGATGCTTTAAATAGGAATATGTTTTGCATGAATGATATACCTTGTCTTTACTCCTCCTTGAAAACACATAAGGCAAAGGCTTTATGTTTAGTTCCATGATATTAAATGAATACCTGTGCCAAAATCTTCACAGAGTTTGAGGTGCTAATGCCTTTAGGCAGTTTCAAAGCTTTTAGGCTTTGAACATGTAAGGCTGTTCAGATCAGTGTGCTCTGATGATACACTTCATATTGTTTGCTGCTGCAAAGCTTAATCTGATGTCAAAATTGCTCGCTGTCTTTTTTGTTTCAGGAATGATACCAGTCAGTAGGTTTCACCTGTGAACTGTGATGCTACAGAAACACTTTTCTGGACACAAATTTTTTACTTTCATTTTGTTGAACAGGACTTAATCGAGGATATACTTTTGCTTCTTTTGCAGGGAAGTTTGAAAACGGTGTAGCTGAAGGAACAGTTGACCCCAGCCTAAACCCTATTTCATCATTCCGGCTTTCAGTAATACAAAATTCAGCCGTTTGGGCAATTCTGAATGAGGTAAGAGGTGGTATAACATTTAAAAATACAACCAGCAAATGTGAGATTTCTTTATTCTGTCAGTGTTTTGAAGCTCAAACTTTTGGCTAACACTGAAAATAGCTACCTCTTAGAAATGTAATACACTAAATGGTGACTTATTTTTTCTGATTCTCTATTTCAGATTCATATTAAAAAGATTACAAACTGATCATGGAATTCTGCTTTAGAGGAAAAAGGATCCTTGAAAACTTTTCCTATAAAATCTGACATCCTTAGCAAATCACAAATTGAAAATACTGAGCATGCACCTTAATTCCAAATTTCATTCTTTTCCACTTGAACTCTACCTCTTGTGAAACCTACTGTAGATGAGAAGATTGTATTTACCCCTTCTTATCTGATCCATCCAGAAACTGATGCTCCACACTGATAACGTTCGTCTGAGGCCCAAGTTGTCCTCCACTTTAATGTGACTTTACCATCTTATGGTTACAAAACCCTGCTATGCTTAAACTGTACTATTTTGATAGTATAGTAATATAGAGAAGTTGTACATATTGTTACATTCCTTGAAGAAGAAGAAAAAAATATAATTATTGTTAAATATGTTTTATGAAGGGGGTACTTTCGGAGTTCCATTTATTTTCTATAACAAGAACCCTCTTTTATAGACTGTCAGGGATATATATTAAAAATGTTAGGGATATTTAATTTATTAAAATAATTTGAAAAGTACATATTTTTATGCAGTAAAATTTTAAATTGATATAGTTTTTTTATGAATTCTCTAGTTTAAGTTATCTTTCTACATTTTTCTTTGGAGATGCAAACATAAATTAATACCATATTTCAAATTTACTGCCATGTTTAAAAAAAACTAAATTAAGTTTCTAAATTACATAGTTTTGTACACAGAATCTGAATGATGTGCAGAGGCATAAACAGAGCCTCTGAAGAGCATTATTCTTTGGGGCTATGAAATTCCACTATGTACAGTTTGTAGCCACATAAAAAGCATGTTAAATGTCTTGTTTCATATTATGTACTAAATCGGCAGTGATTTTAGATCAAATCCATTGCATTTTAGAAGATTTTTTTTTTTATTCCAAACAGTTATTTCTAAAAATCTTTGTAAACATTTCCTAGCCTGAACAAATTCATTTTCTGTCCTGAAAAAAATAATTCTCCAGCTTTGTTTTGGAGTGATAGAGGTTACTTTACATCAAAAGAACAAATAATACATAGATACATTTGACCTATGGAGGTCTCCTTTTAGAAAGTTCTGTTAATGTAGTGTTCATTTTGGATACATTACAGTTTATTTTTATTTTCTTCAGTTGTTCAAAACCAACATTTTAGTTTTGACTTCTTTATTGATGAGTGTATTAACTCACATGAACTTTTTACTAGGAACTAAATTTGGCCTCAAGTTAGTACCCTGCCTTTTCGTTTCAAGGGAAACAACAGTGATCTTAAATGAATCATAAACTCAGTCAGGAACAAAACATGGTTTGGATTACATCCAGAGGGGAATTGTTGCAGTACTAATGCTGCTGGTGCTGCTCTTAATAGTCTTTCTGCTTAGGTGCTTATATGTAAGACACAGGCATGGGAAGATTTCAGTTAGTCAGAAATGATCAGGAAAAAGAGAGGCGAGAATTCCTCCCTTTAATAGGAAAGAAGTGCCTGACTGACACTGGAGGGAGGCATCTGCCTTGGCCTGGGGATTCTCAGCTGGGCTATGAACAAGCCTCCTGGAATTGACATCTCAAAAGCTGGAGGGTTTTCCCTATGGGGAAAAACCCCCACTCTGCTATTCCCAACATAGAATCATAGAATCGTTCAAGTTGGAAAAGACCTTTAAGATCTTTGTGGTCAGGGTACAGATGCACAAAACCTGTTGCAGGGTCCCTGATCTAGAGTGGGGATCTTGAATTTGCACCTCCGGCATTATTTGGCTAATAGATTTGGCCTCTCTTTTATGACACGTTTATAAGGAGCAGGAGCCTAAACCTGACTCTTCAGCACTGCAAACCATCACCACTGGGGTATAGAGTCAATCTGTCTTTTCTTCTGCCTTGTTGGAAAGTGGTGTCATAGCTTTGACAGTTTAGCAGTATTCAAGTTGAAGAGCTTAACTGTTTCGACAGACTGTTGTCATTTTGGTTTAGCTATGTTGTCTGGGGACACAGGGAAGACAAGATTTGTACACAGAGGCAAGACCTTCTGTTTAGACTGACTGGTGTAAGTTCAAGTTAGAAAGCTACCAGGCAGGCCTTGTTTACTTTTTCTGATCACATCAGGTGGTCTAAATAAAATGTTACTTGGAAAGCTCGCGTTGCCCATAGAGACTGTGGGCATAAGCTAAGTACTGGCCACATAAATGGAGTTTATTCTTGGATTTTGGAACCTGGGTGACTGGCTCTGATCCCGTGTGACTCTAGCCTGTTGTGGTGCTACTCTAGCCCCGTTTGTCACCTGTGTAATGCCGTGCCATCAAATTATTGTCATGCAATGGCTTTTTATCACACATTACCTAGCAAAGGTCTGAGAAAGTATTGAGGCGTTCTTCTCATCTGTGTCAGTGGATGAATGATGCAAGTTATTTACACTAGAGTTATTTATTACAATTCAGACTGCAGAAATATGTTAGATATTGAAGTTTCTTAATATAATTAGTTTTGCTGACAGTGACCTTTTCCATTTTTCCATTATTTCAGAAGTTTACTGGTACCACTTGTTGGAGAAAGCTGTGTGCTTATTCTAAAAGCATTACTATTCCTGAGGTTTCACAGTAGTTAAGATGATTCATTGCTAATATACTTAAATACATAGATCCCTACCACACTGATTGCAGAACTCCAGTTAACAGTAGTTTTCAAGAATGTTGAGATTTATCCAAGACAACAAATTACTGCTTGGTAAAATGGGGATGGTTTCCTAAAGACTAGTGTATCTTTATTATATCATACTACCAGGAGTTGAAAACTTGGGCTACTTTAATAGTTTCAGTGTTCCTAGTTTATATGCTCTCTAAATAAAAGTGCCACATTAAGACAAATTACATTTCATGGATTCAGGTAAATTCAGAGATGGTGTAATCAGGTAGTTCTGCAAATTTGTTTGGAAATTTTGCTGAAAAATATAAAAAGCAAGGAGGATATTTTCTATTTAATTATTTCCGCAGACAGCTATTTTGGGCTTTCAAATTTCAATCCCCAAGTCAGGCTAAAGTGACAAAGTAAGTGCTTAGGCAGTTTGGCTCACCAGCCTTTAGCTCAGGCACTGTTTGTGATGGATATACTCCAGAGGAGCCGGTGTCTCTTGCATTTGTCCGTCGTAAGTGACAGCATTGCCATAAGAGATCTTAAACAGTATCTTAAACCTGTTAAATTATTTGGGGGAGTTTTTCCCTACATGTATTTAATTTCAGCTTATTTTTGTTGTTGCCTTAAAAATCCCCTCTAGGCCTCTGAATCTTAGCTATACAGTAATGGAAAGTGTTTCAAAATAAATTGCATTACCCTATGATCCTGCTAGCTCCTTCTGATGCTGTTAAAGCTTCAGAAAAGTGAACTTTTGTGAAACCAAAGGCATTGCCAGAAACCTTCATTATCCGGGCAAATTATTCTTAACTTCTTGTACTGGATGCCAGACAGACTCGCCAATACGAGCACTGGCTTTTGTGAGCAGATTAGGATTGCTTGGGACCAAGGAAATACAAGGCTTGCAGTATAATGTTGCTTTGCTCGTTCAGTGGGTAGTCCTAATGAAAACTTTGTAAATAATGTGAACAGGATGTGATCCCAAAGTAGCACTTTTTATTTTCTTAATGAGTGTTTCTAAAGCACTGTAGAAGGCTTTGAGCTTTTGCAAGCATCTCAAACAGGTATTTGCATTGATGGAAAAAATTTCTGTAGATATATTTGTTTTTTCTCTACTTAAAGATGGCTTAGAAAAATTCAAAGATAAACATATGATTCATGGACCAAGAAAAGACTGGACTCTTCTGTCTTGCTGCTACTGCAGCTAGACACTGTTTCAAAAGCAGTTTTTAAATACCTTGAGTCAGTTTAGGCAAAGCAATTTGTACTTTGCCCCTGTGATACACAATTCCTTGAATGGGCTGGAGTGTGATTAGTCTTTGGAAAAATTGAACAACTGTGTAACAGTTTCCTTCTTTTTTTTTTCAAATATATTTTAATTTCACTAATCTCTGTATTTTGTTGGAAATACTTGCTCCACATGAAGTATTGTAGTAATTTGTAGTTTGCCTCCAACTTTGAAAGCACTGTTTTAGTCTTGTGGGGAAAAAGAAGAATGAAATCTTTTCAAACCTTGCTCTCCTGAAATACATTAACCCAAGGTTCTATATTTGTTCTTACTAGAAAGGATGTATTCTGAAAAGTAACTGTAGTTAGAAAGGGTTAAAAAAAAACCCTTGTATTTTTAAATCATCTTTACAATCACCAGCATAATGCTGAAACATTAAACAACTGGTGTTTTCAGGCTAACATTGATTGCTGACTTAAAACACACACCCTATGGAGACCTGCTGAATTGGTCCTTGACAGTGTCACTTTTCTGACCCGAGGGGTCTCTGAAGGGTTTTGCTCATTTCTGCTCTAAACAATGAGCTGCCAGAAGTTAAAGTAGCTTAATTTTGAGAATGATGAAGCCTTCTTTAAAGAGGGTGAACTTTGATATCTCTAAAGGGAAGGTACACAGGCCCCGAGTCCTTCAATGGTATCTAAAGGGCACTAAATATGAATTTTTACTCTTGAACTGAAGTGGGTGATCACTGGTGCTAGGATTCCTGTTAGGAAAAAGGTGTACAGTTAGGCTGCAGCTGCCTGCAGGACGGGAGTTTGTGCTGTTTGCCAGGGAGGGAGCAGGTCCTGACTGGAATCCTTCGCCTTCCATGGATCAGCAGTTCAGTGCTTTCCTTGTTTAAAGGAGAACGTTGCTCAGCATTGCTGAGAGGGAAACACACTTCTCTTCAAGCCTTAACAGTGGCTGAGACACACGTACTGTAAGATGCACTGCCAGCATATTTGGTATTTTGAGATAAAATATAGTTTTTCCTTAGAGATCAAATTCTAGTATTGAAATATTAAGTCTTACTGTAACCAGTTTACTCTTGTGTTGTTTTGGAAACTGAATCCTAGTGAACACCATGTTGGAAAGCTGTCATCTTCACTCTCCATAAGGTATTGTTTGTGATGGTCAGTTTATACTCCTGCCTTGTGGACTTTACAGCTGCAGGCATTGCCACGAGCCCACCCTTGTAGCCAAACTAATTTGTACTTTTTTTCCATGTTCATTGACCTGCCACTCAAAATGGTGGATGTAATAATACCCACTGGACTGCTAGAGATTGGGTTTAAAAACTTGCTGCTATTTTTGGAAACCTGATATGGGTCATGTTAATTGTGCCTTTCATCACTGTTTCTTCTGTGTGCCAGAGCTGTCCACGTATATTTGAAGTAGTCACTAAAATAAATCTGTTCTCAAGTTCTTTCATGCAAGGAGAGGACAGATCTCTATCTAGAGACAGTTGTTGCTTTACCATCGCAACACTCTCTTAAGATCTCTACTTTCACACAGTCCCAAGGCAAGGTATTCCAATACTGCTCTTCAATAAAACTGCTTTTTGGTGTCACTTAAACCCCTCATAATGTAGAGCTTATACCAGTATGTGCAAAATACCTGCAGTAAGAGTTATGCTACATAGACTTGTTGCAGTTAAATTTAAGCTACAGAGATGTACAAGTAACTTGTTTTTAGGAATGTACTGAGAAAGTATTTGAACAAAATTGCTAACATGTTTACTGTTGTAAATATTTTAATAAAAAAGGACACTTCAAACTTTTTTACACAATTATCTACAATAAAGAGAAATTTACAACCATTTACAAAATGTTCTAAATTTTTTTTTACTGTCAAAAACGGCTAACGTAAAAAGAAAATAAACATTAGATACATGAAGTCCTGGGTTTATTTCACTCTGTATTTATAGAAGGAGCAAAGCATCTTGGTGAAGTTCCATCCACATGCTAGTGAGATCAAATAGAGCATGATGAGAAGTGCAAAGGGATACAAAAGAATAGCTGTGTTCTTCAAAAAGGGCAATGCTGAAACAGAAGCAACAATGAAGCAAGTATAAAGTAGTGCTCTTTAAAAAAGGTGCTTCATGTGGAGTGGCCTTGGGGCAAGACAGCACGAAAAAACAGTTCTGCTCTACTGTCATCCTCGGGCATCTCTGCCCTACTAGTCCTACTGTTACTACATAATGCTTTTTGAAACTGCTTTACCAAAAACTGTGGCCTTAGACTCATTAAAGAATTTTTATCTAATGCAGACATCTTGAAGTGGATTTACAGAGGAACAAGGAAACGAAGTTGTGGTTCTACAGGTCTAATACAAGAAGGGAAGTTGGTAAAGTGGAGAATACAAATTCTCTGGTTAATATGTACACTCAGCTGAAAATCCGGATGGGTAAATTTCTATCAAACTTCTTTTACCACAAAGAATTACTTCAACACCCAGCTGAGCCTCTGCTTTACAAATAAATATACTAAGATCAAATTAATAGACTGAAAACATGCTCTTGTTTTTAGTCAAATGAATACAAAAGAAATTGATGTCACTCACCACTGTATCCTAGGAATGTCACATAGATATAATAGCCGATGGCAATCAACCATAATGTATTCCCAACAAAATACCCAATGACAGAGTCAGATATGATGACATCTGCAAGAGATAACTGCTCTCAGCTGTTTTGATAGCGCACCATTTTGAAGCAGAGAGCTCAAAGTATTCTACTTACAGTTGATGAAGAACAGCTGGATAAAATGCAAAATTACTAGAAGTGGGTAGAAGGCATTCAGATGCACATCAAAGGCATACCCCCACTCCACATCATAGTCTCTGTTCTGCTGCTTCACCAAATACTTATTAGAAATGAACCTACATAAAAAGATATTTGAGATTATTGTTAATGTGAATCTATAAAGCTGACAATCAAAACACAGGTTTGACATAGTAAGTCATATGCAATTCCAATTCTCCACCCAAAAGTGTCTGCTATCTGGCAGGAAAAACATGCAAGAATCATGCAGACCAGACCATTGTTAAAATGTTTTTGTTAAAACTATGATTACATCCCCCTGCATGCGACAGTGTGGTGGGGGGAAACAGTTTTCCCCCCTGCAGTTATAAAATGGTAAAACCCCAGGGGGTGGTGACCCTTGAAGTTTTGAGGTTTTACCCAATGAGCGCTTCTGCAAAATATAAACATATCACAAGCAGAACGGAAGAGAAGGTAGTTGTAGTTTTGGGGTGGAAGAAGTAGCCATGTAAAGCCACGAGCAGAAGCAGCAGCCCCACTGGGGGCTGGGCCCCCCAGTCCCAGGTGGGGGGGGCTGCAGGGACTTGGAGCAGTGTTAAACTGAGCTAAGTGCCTGTAGCTAGGAAGCTGAAGGAGTTTTCTCCACTGTGAGTGAGCAAACGGAGCAGCAGCAGAGGCAGCAGCGGACAGAGGACAGTGGCAAAGAGCCAACAGATAAGAACCGAAGAAGCAGCAAACAGCACGCAGCCAAGGCAGACACAGAGTTGTCTGAGAGAGCCGAGAGAGAGAGAGAGCAGGACTAAGCTAAGAATTGGATTTTGGGGTTCTCAAACCACGACAGACAGCTGGAACACTGTATTACACTGCCCGTAATACAGAAACAAAATGCTTCTTTAAAGAAACCAGCGCTACAATCTTATCAATGCAGCCACAAGCTGCGACTTCTCTCTGTACACACAGGGAGGAAACTTCAGTAAAGTGCCCATACAGGATCAGCAGACATCACACAAGATGGCTTATTTCATCTCTACAGAACTGGTGCACTGCAAAGACAGGAGGAGAACTGGATAGTGCTCATAACATGAGCCTATTCTTACTGAAAAGAAATGCAAATGGAATGTGCACTGCCTGGTGTTAGAGGCTATGGAATAAGCCTCAGGACTGTGCTTCAGCTTAAGTTCTGTTCACATAACAAAATTTATCACATTTAGAAGAGGAACAAGAAGTCAATACATCCTCAGAAATGAGTTAAGGGACCAGAGTTTTCATGAAAGCTTCCTCTGACATACTCTTTGTGCCAAGGGTGGGGTCAGAAGGAGGCACAGCCTGGGGGTAAGGTGAGATGAGGCAAGACATGAAGGGGTTTAGACTCTTTAAGAATGGGGTGAGTTTTTGGAAAAAAGGGTGAGCCTGCACTGGAAGAAGGGACTTGAACCGAACTGGAGCCAGATGACTAGTACTGAGGCCTGCAGGAAGCCAATTAAAAGATAGAGGAAAATCAGCAATGCTGAAGCCTTCCTGGTTCAGAAGACTGCACCCTGAGGCACAAATTGCTAGAGAATGGCAGGCTGGGAGCAGAGAGCTTTACTATAAGCTCTTCCCCAAGCAATTTATGGGTTGCTGTCCCAGACACAAGCATAGGTCAGATGGACTTTTCATCTATCAGCTACGGTTCTTGTACGTGCCTCTTCCTGAAGTTTGCAGGAGTTCCTGAGGCCACGGTTTGAAAGGAATTTATCCCTTTTCCAATCAGCATCAGTTTAAGATGTCAGCTCCATCACTAAGAACTCTTCTAAATGCTTTTACTTTCTTAAGTTCTTGGTAAAATAAAAATACTTTCTTTGGTGCCCTCCCTTTGCCACAGCACAGAAACAGCAGCTTCCCATTGTTTCATGGCTCCCTCATTGCTGCAGGACACATCCACGGTGCTGAGGCCTGGATTGTAAGCTGACCTGCTCCTGCTTCTCCACTTCTGCAAGTCCCTGGACACTAGAGGATAAAACCAGCAGTGAATAGCACCAAAGCAGCGAAGCTGCCACATGTGAGACAGAACGGATGTGGCTTGTTGTGGCACTTGCTAAAATCTTCAGCAAGGAGCGTGGGCTTAAAGAGAATCATCCTCAGTCTTACATTGCTTATTTTTTTCATTCATTATTCTGATTGAACAGTTTGGGGTTTTTTGAACACATTTTTTATTTGGCATTACTGCTGACTATTAACCAGCTCAAAAAGAAAGAAAAGAAGCTGGAATGTTTACCATAATACACACTTCCTGATTTTTTTTTTATCTTTTGCAAGAAATAGTGAAGAAAAAGATGTGTTCTTTTTTATTGCAACATTTTGAAACAATTACTACAACAGCACAAAACTTACAGGCAATACTTGCTTAATAAGTTTACCCTAAACAAAGAACCAAGTGTCTTGCAAACAGCAGAGGACTCTCCACGTCTGAATAGCAATACTGAACTCAGTTTCAGAAACCACTACTTACCACATCAGAGTTGCAATCAGGAGGCCAACGCCAACGCAGTCTATGAATACAACCCAAAGTAGCAGCTTTATTGTTTCAAAAAACCCCATGTCCAGCACAAATCCAAATCCTACAGTAGACACTGAAAGCAGAAAAAGATTATTAAAGTCAGCTGTAGAAAAGAAAGCATGAGATCTTAAACTGATGGGGTTTCTTTGAATATACTGTTATGAAATCTCCACTTTCCTTTTTATTTTTTCCCCCCAAGATTTTTAGTCCAACAGCTCATTTTTTTCCACCAAAACCTAGATATAATGTAATTTATTCATAATATAATCCCTCTCACAGATTGAACACTCGTCTGTACTCAGGCTTAATTGTATTTCTCCACTCAAACTATTTTTTAAAAAATTCACACAATGCTAAAATAGAACATTGTTTTAGAAAAGCTCCTTGTGAACCCAAAACACATGCGTGGTGATATATAGTTTTATTTCAAAGTTATATGAAATATTTTTGCTATTACAAATAGCAATATGCTTTTTAACAGAAGACAACTGGGATAATACTTACTGAATTTGCAGTTCAGTCACTTAGATGAGCCGCTTTGTTTATAGCTTAATTCTGCAATATACAGAATCTCACTCGGGCCTTTATGGTAAAAACAGTATTTTATCCATAATGTTCAGGTAAACCAAATATTCAATATTTTTTAAGTAAAGCACTACTGTGTGGTATGGGGTTTTATTGCTGTCTGTAAAGTTACAGGGAACTGCATAGCTTGAAATGCAACAGAAAATGAGTTGCAACAGAGATCAATTCAAGACTAAACAGTTTTAGTTATGCCTATTCCATTTTCTAATTCCTATCTTAACTTCCAAAAGGTTAGGCCCTTTTCCTCTATTCTACTTTGACTAAAGGATGATACATATGGACTGGTCTCTTTTTTGCGTGTTATTGGAAGGAAAATGAATATTTATCCCTAAACTTTCCCTCCCTCTCCCTTACGCTGTCTGTTGTCCTGCACTCACCACAGAGCCAGATACTAAGCAGTACTAGGAAAGCAGGATCATCTCTCGCCCATTGGTCCTTTGTCTGTTTTCTGTAGTGAAAGTTCCTGTAAACCCTCTGTGGTGAAGTGAACAAATAAAGCATCTGCCAAAGCGCAAACTCAAAGTCCATCTGTCGGAAGTGGAAGAGCCTCCGCAGGTACTTGTAGCGTTTCGCTCCGGCCGTGTGCCTTGCAGCATCCCTGGGGCTCAGCGCACCATTGCCCTGGCTCCGAGAACTAACCAAGGTGGTTGGCAGCATCTTGCTAAAGAAAGAATTTCAAAAGATGTGTTTGGTTTTGCATATAGTGACGGCTACAAATAAAATCACGTGATGCAGGCCGTGCCTGCAATGCTGAAGTGACAAAAACTGAGCACAAGTATAAACAATGACAATTGTTGGAGCAAGTCCAGAGGAGGCCACGAAGTGACAGAGGGCTGGAGCATCTCCCCTATGAAGACAGGCTGAGAAAGCTGGGGCTCTTCAGCCTAGAGAAGAGAAGATTGTGTGGAGACCTCATAGCAACCTTCCAGTATCTGAAGGGGGGAAAACAGAGAAGCTAGAGAGGAACTCTTCATCAGGAACGGTAGCGATAGGACAAGGAGTAATGGGTACAAACTGAAAGAGAGGGAATTTAGGTTATATATTACGAAGAAATTCTTTACTCTGAGGGTGGTGAGGCACTGGAACAGGCTGCCAAGGGAGGTTGTGGATGCCCCAACCCCGGCGGCGTTCAAGGCCAGGATGGATGGAGCTCTGAGCAACCCGGTCTAGTGGAAGGTGTCCCTGTCCACGGCGGGGGGGTTGGCACTAGATGATCTTTAAGGTCCCTTCCAACCCGTAACACCGCACGTTTCCAAGATTTAGGGGCGGCCCGGCCGGCGCTGCTGACGAACACCCGTCCCCCCCCCAGCGGGACCCGCGCTCCGCTCCGGGCCGGGAGGCGCCGAACGTCCCCGAGCTCCGCTGCGCGCCGGGGGGAAGGGGGGAGCTCACCTGCTGCCCCGGCCCGCGCCGCGACCCCGCCCGGCACCGCCGCCACCGCCTCCCGCAGCCTTCCGGCACCGTCCGCGGCGCAGGCGCCCGGGATCCTCCCCGGCACCGCCCCGGCCCTTCCTGCCCCCGCCGGAAGCGGCCGCAGCGCCCGGGATGCCGGAGGCGGCCGGAGGTGTCGCCAGGGCGGGCGGCAGCGGGAGCGGCGCGTAGGGCTGGGCTCGCCGCCATGCCCAAGTACTACGAGGACAAGGAGGAGGACGAGCGCGCCTGCAGCGGCGTGCGGGAGGACCTGCGGCAGTGCCTGCTGGAGAGCCCCTGCGTGCTGCAGGTGAGCGCTGCCGCCTGCAAGCCGCCCCTTTCCGGCCTGCTCGCTCCTGTATGCAGCACCTCAGAGAATTACAGCTCCAGGGGAAAGCGCAGGTCATCGCAGCGAGGCGAAATCCCCAGTAAACCTTGTATGAAGTTGGAACGAGGTGACCTGCAAGGTCCCCTTCCAACCCAAACCACTCTATGATTCTAGGTAGTATTTTGGTGTTTCTTTGACGAGCTGCACAAATCAAGTTTTTAATCCTTTATTTTTCATCTGCTAGGAAAACAAAAGCCCTAAACAATGCTTGAGGGAAGGACACTGTAGGAGTTTGCAAGTGACATTCTTTGCATGCAAAAGATCAATGGTAAGTGTGGCGTGTCTGGTGACAGTGGCCTGGATGCTTTCTGTCCTTTTCCCACATTTTTGAAGAGCATTTTAATTCAGTAAAGCTGGTGTCATTAAGCAGAACAGCTCCTTCCTTTGAATCCAATTTCAAATATGGATGTTTGTATGTAGAAAAACTCTGATTGTTCTCATGAAGAAAAAGTAGAGTATGAAAAACTGGGAAAATGTGTTTATATTGAATTAGGCTTAGAATGTCATGGGTAGTGAGGTAGGTATTTTTACTATTGTTTTTAGTAAAGTTTTGGTTTAAAAAAATTCTAGATCAGGTAATTGTAAGATAAAATATTGACAAGACATTTTTTGTCTGCAAGGTCATCCAAAGAGAATCTGTATAGAGAACACTGAAATGAAATTAAATGAGACTTTCACTGTTGAATCAGGATCTTGCATTGAATTCACATTGAGTCATTAATTTTCTCGGAGTACTTGAATTCATGATAACTAACAGTTTGGGTTTTTTATATAGCGAACTATCCCATATGATACTAACAAAAATGTAACTAGATAAAGTTTCCCCTATTTTGATAGGAGTTCCATGTCCAGAAGTGTCTTGCTTGTGTTTCCATGATATTTAAAAAATAGTTAAGATATTATAAAGATGGTATCAAAACATGAGTTGTGCAGGGCTGATTTTAATTTTTAGCTGATATGGTACATAATGAAAAGTGCACAGATGAAATGGTACCTAAAATTTTTCTTCCATTCTGTAGTAGTCATTCCAGCTTTTTGTACCTCTCCTATATGAACCATATTAATCCATACAGTCACAAATTATTATTTCTGCAGACAGGAAAAGTGCTGTGTATTAAATGTTTGAAATACCTCTATGATGCTGCAGTAGCAACATATACAGGTGATGTGCCTGTATTTTTGTCTGGATTGTTAAGGCAGCCTGATGAAATTTAAATTGCAATCTGAATGTATCCAGTCATGTGGGAAGAAGCCTGGCTCTTAGATGATTCTATTTAATTGCTCCAAATTCTAAGGCTGGTGAGTGATGTTTTTCTTGTCCTGTTAATTCTGAGAATTTCAATAATTGTGCCCTGCCAAATTTTTTACTTGTTACAGTAGTGAGGATTAAAGAGTGTCCAAAACCAAGTTAGACACTAGATGCAAATATAATTTAGAGTATTCTGAAATGATTAGGGACTTTGTCTAGATACTGTTTTCTTTGTGAGGAAATAGAATGTCTTATCAGTAGAGTAAGCTTCAGTAAACTTTAGACATTTAAGTAGGAACAGGATTTAAAGTGGAAGCTGCTAGGTTATTGGATAAGCTATGTCATCATGTAGTCGAGCTCTTTACAAATTTTACTGCAGTTTTGAATCGTGGAAGAGGGTTAGTTAATGGAGATAAAAGAAACCTCCTCAATCTAATATCTGAATACGGCTGAGTTGCAATCTGTCACTGCCATCTTCAAGACTGACTATCTAAATTCAGAAGAATTCTCCCAAGATCAAAGTATATTTTTCTGCTGCACTGGGAAAGAAATTGCAATTTAGCTTCTGTAAGTACTGCAGTGTACCTTTTATTTTAGCTTTACTGTCATCTTTAGCCTTTCATTAAATCTTTTTTTGTAACCGCCAAGAATAAACTTGTACATTTTAGAAGCTGAATATTATTTCAGTTTTTACTGATTTATTTCTATTTTTTCCACAAACTTCTTGTATTTAAGTTATCCCTCTCCTCATGGACATTTGCAGTGACTCCCACTTCAACCAAATCTGAATTTCCTGCCTTCAGATTATCAGTTACATTTGGAAAAAAACTGAATTAAGCAGACTTACACTACCTTGGTTTTGTGTGTTCTTTGACGTCCTACTATGCTGCTCTTGTCATCTGTGTTGTTCCACTGTTTATTTCAGAATGCACAGGATGCTTATCACATAATTTTAATTTTGTGTGAGATTTAAGATAATATAATGTCTCTTTCATCAGAACCGCCCTATGGCTTGTTGGCTATATCACTAGTTTTCTTTACAGTGCCTTCTGCTTTATTCTGGCCTTTGTTCTGATGTTACTAAGTGCCAAGGTAGCACAAGCACTCTAAAATATTTCTTTTGCAAAATACCGGCTTTTAATATTTTGACTTCAATTTTCAGTTGGATACCAGGGCAAGATTCAGAGGAAGGAAGGGATACTGAAGTCTTCATCAAGAGACCTAGCCATGGGAATTCAGGGTTCATCAGCACTTTACAAAAAGCAGAGACTAAAGTAAGAAGATTGTACCTGCTATATCCTTTCATGCAGTGTTTTTGTGGAAGGTACCTGCTCCTGAGTATTCTGATAGATTGACCTGGATGTGCATTTAAATGTTAAAAAGAAGACAAGCCTAAAGCTGCAAGTTCTGGCCAAAATGGGTACTTGTCATGTACTTGAAATAAAATATGTGAAATCCAGAATAAGCTGCAGAATTTATCATTCTGTTTTGAAGTGAAGTTGTCTTCTGTGACCTTACTGTGAATTCCGGTCATGTTTTGCTATTACAATAATAGAAGGTATGGAACTGGGAGTTCACTTGATGTGTTGAGGAAGAGTTTTCTTAGCAGACTGGTATCCCAGAGGATACCTCAGGATAGAACTGTTTTCAGAGATGAGGAGTTGGCCAAGGTTGTAAAATGTGTGTGCAAGTTGCTTCCTCTCCAGTAGGTTTGCTGCCCACTAAATCTGCACTAATAGATGGGAGTGGTGATGTTTTTCATTGCCACACTGGTAAGGAAGTAGGATTTGTGGGGGTAACAGTGCTTAAACTGTGACAGTGGTCAATATTAACTGGTTCTGATTAAGAACTTTTTTCCCAAAGGAATATTTTTTTTCTTCTTTCAGTATCTCTGTGTCATTCCCTGCCTTTTAGAAGCCTTTAAGAAATAAATAGTAGTGTAACTCTTACAAGTGGCAACTCAAATAACTTCAGACAAGGTGATTGGAAACAAGATTGGGAGACAGTGAGAGAGGAGAGTCATAGTAACTTCTTGGCTGAAGCTTATAGCCAAGTGTCTGATTTACATTTAGTCTGAACAGATGCATGCAACACTTAACTGTTTGTAAAAGTGATGACTTCAGTGAATTAGTGCATGTTGATTATTTCATTCTGTCTTAAGCAACTGTTCTGTGATCAAAGACTGTTTATATTCCTTGTATGTGTAGGACTTTATTTTTGCAATTATAAATCAACATTGATTTCACATTTTCATGTTCTGTTGATTATATGGAAGCTAGTTCATTTGTTCAAGTGCTGTAAACATCCTTTGTTTTCCACCGCCTGGTTACCATATCATCTCTTTACATACACAAAAATTATAAAATGGTGTCTATAAGAGTGTTCTTAACTTAGCACTCTAATTTCAAATTATTACTCACAAGCCTTCTCAAAGGGAGCAAAAACAAATAAAAAGCCACATGGCAGGTATTTAAATGTCAGTTAGAGAGAAGAGTCAGAATAGTATGGGGTTTTGGTAATCATGGACTCTTCCATGGTCTGCTCTGCTGCAGCTGCTTGATGGTTCAGGTGATCTATGTTCCTTTCTTGGCCATAATCACCAAGCCTCACCTCATGGTGCTGCAGGAACCACTTTTGGAAAGAAGCAGACAGATAACAGATCATAGAGAGACAGCTAGTTAGAGTTATTTTTAGTAATTGGCTTGAATCCAGTGGAGATCGAGTGTTAAATTCAGTGTTTGCTATTGGACATTTAAGGATTTAATAATTAACAGAATATTTGTATTATTCGATCCACTAGAATGTTACTGTAAAAACTTCCTAGTGGTTCACTAACTACCTAGGACAGTATAAAAATACCTATAATATGTATCAAAATACTGATTTGCTCAAGAGACTATCACTGTTCAATTCCAGTGTTGGGTAAAATCATATTCTGTTTAAAAATGACTACCTATATAATTGTCTTGGGACTTTGACCACTGTTCTACTTGAGAGATATTAATGTTTTTTGTGGGGAAAAATAATAATTTGTTTTATTAATGGAAAACTGTAGGTACTACAGATTTGATTCTAGCTCTTTTCCTAATACAGTAAATGTTTTTATTTAAAAATATTTTTGTCTCATGCCTTGTGGTACACTACTGGGTTTTACTAAAAAAAGTGCATATTTCTATGCTGTGGTAGATTTTGCAAGATGGAACATGCAATGTGTCTGAATCCGTGAAATTGAATTGCTAAGGACAAATAGTTGACATGGCCCCAAAAGGCTCATACTGGGTTTAGAATCAGAAATATATGTGGTGCTAATAATTCGTATTGAATAAATACAGAACACAGTTTGCAAAGAACTTTCCCTGCTGCTCTCATTCCTCCCATTCGTTTTACCCAGTGGCAGAGTCAGAGAGTGCTGAATGCTGTCAGGACTGACATCGCAGACTGCGGCTCCCTCAGTGTTAGGACCTGTCTGTGTCATTACATCTCGTTTCATCAATTAACGTGTTCTCTCTGTGGTCCAATCCTGCAAACACATTTGTATTTAAATGGCTGTAAACACATATTGCAGAACTGCAGAAATATGCCATAGTCATTTACTCTGAAAATTCTTTAGGTCATTGACTCTGTTCTTCCAAGTTAGTATGAAGTGATAAGCATATGAGTCTGTGTGTTTATATTACTTATTAAAGACCTTCATTATTCACTGGATGGAATAAGAAATTGGTTGTGTATTCTCTCTTCACTTTTAAGTTTCTGGAGAGTAGCAGGTTGGGTGAGATGCTTTTTTTCAAAGCAGACTTTTAAAATAATACTATCTTTTTCAGTGGAAGCCTGGAACAAACTAAATTGACACCTTCTGCTCATAAGAAGAGCATTAAATTGAAATCATCTAAAAATGCAGCCATAGAATGTAGGTGGTAAGCAGTATCTCTTGTTTAAGCCTGTGGTTGGAAAACTTAGAAATACAGAACCATAGCAGCTTTGTTGACATGATGAATTTCACAAGTACTCATGCTGCCCCAGCACTTGATATGTGGTCATTGCAGAGGGACCTGGACAGGCTGGAGAGTTGGGCTGATTCCAACGAGATGAGGTTCAACAAGGCCAAGTGCTGGGTCCTGCACTTTGGCCACAGCAACCCCCTGCAGCTCTACAGGCTGGGCACAGAATGGCTGGAGAGTGGCCAGGCAGAGAGGGACCTGGGAGTTTGGATTGACAGGAAGCTGAACATGAGCCAGCAGTGTGCCCAGGTGGCCAAGAAGGCCAATGGCATCCTGGCCTGTATCAGGAACAATGTGGCCAACAGGTCCAGGGAAGTGATTCTTCCCCTGTACTCAGCGCTGGTGATGCCACCTGGAGTACTGTGTCCACTTCTGGGCCCCTCAGTTCAGGAAGGATATTGAGGTGCTGGAGCAGGTCCGGAGAAGAGCAACAAGGCTGGTGAAGGGACTCAAGCACAAGTCCTATGAGGAGAGGCTGAGGGAGCTGGGGTTGTTCAGCTTGGAAAAGAGGAGGCTCAGTGGAGATCTCATCACTCTCTACAACTCCCTGAAAGGAGGTTGTAGCCAGGTGGGGGTTGGTCTCTTCTCTCAGACAGCTCTCAGTAAGACAAGAGGGCATGGTCTTAAGCTCTGCCAGGGGAGGTTTAGGTTAGATATTAGGAAGAAATTCTTTACAGAGAGGGTAATCAGACATTGGAATGNACTCAGCGCTGGTGAGGCCACACCTGGAGTACTGTGTCCACTTCTGGACCCCTCAGTTCAGGAAGGATATTGAGGTGCTGGAGCAGGTCCAGAGAAGAGCAACGAGGTTGGTGAAGGGACTCAAGCACAAGTCCTATGAGGAGAGGCTGAGGGAGCTGGGGTTGTTCAGCTTGGAGAAGAGGAGGCTCAGTGGAGAGCTCATCACTCTCTACAACTCCCTCAAAGGAGGTTGTAGCCAGGTGGGGGTTGGTCTCTTCTCTCAGGCAGCTCTCAAGACAAGAGGGCATGGTCTTAAGCTCTGCCAGGGGAGGTTTAGGTTAGATATTAGGAAGAAATTCTTTACGGAGAGGGTAATCAGGCATTGGAATGGGCTGCCCAGGGAAGTGGTGGATTCTCCATCCCTGGAGGTTTTTAAGATGAGACTGGACGTGGCACTTAGTGCCATGGTCTAGTAACCATAATGGTAGTGGATCAGGGGTTGGACTTGATAATCTAAGAGGTCCCTTCCAACCCGGCTGATTCTATGATTCTATGATTTGGAATATGTGTCTTGTTGTCTACAGCTGAAGAGCACAACAGTTTAATTCCAGTCTTAAACTGTAGTTGATAGAATAGTAACCAGAAACCTTAAGATCATTTCTTATTTTTCTTTTCCAAATGTGCATGCTGAATTTTCTGTCTCTGGCATTGTTTTGTTGGAAGTATCTTCGGAAAATCATTAACCAGCTATTTCTGTAAGTGGAACACCCCCCAGTGACTTGGTTGACAGTCTGTAGGAAGAAAATTTTGTAAACATAAAGAGCAGCTTCTTGAAGTGGACTAGCTTTATTTTCAGGACTTACAGTAGGTTCATTAATAATGTCCTTAAACATTGAAAGAGGAAGAAACAATAAGGTAAGCATTTTAATAGCTACCTAATTATGTCAGTAGCAGGTGATATATTTCAAGTAGATAAACATTGAAATTATATTTTTGTGTCGAGCTGAGGTTTGTTTGCCCTGGTGGAAGCTTTCATGTGCCACCTTCTTTCTTGGCCTTTAGGTTCTAATGGGCTGCAGTGAAAATGGAAGGGAATAATTCCACTAAAGATTTTTAGTAACGGAGGAAATGATACTTGTGAATCTCTGTGACTTAAAACAAGATATCCCAAATTTGCAATATTACTATTAGTACTTTAAAAGGAGCTATGGAAAAATAGCAAATATAGAAATTGGCTTGTAATTCATAAATTCTAATGATAAACTGTGCTGCTGTAAAATTGTGCTGCCCTTCATTATCATGAAGAATATAAACTTCTTAGTCATCTTATGACACAAATTTTTTATATTTTTTTGCTGGTGGAAGAGAGAGGTCTAATATTTGTTAGCTATTGCTTGTCGTAAGCTTTTGATTCTGTCTCAGCCATACCTCTTTAATGGGCATAGCAGAATAGTTTCTGGAAATCTGTGTGGGAAGAAATCTTTTACAAGTTGCAGATCATTGACAAACTAAGGAAGATGAGGGTGAATAGTGTGCTGAGGGTGAATTGATGTGTAAAATTTTGCATTGTTCAATATAAAGGCAGAAATTACATAAAGCACTTTATCAGCTGAGACTGATTCAGATTCCTTCCTGCTTTATGTTAGTGGTTAGAGTTTGACACCCTTCATCTAATCTGACCTTTTGTGAAGGTTTTTATGCCAGAGAAAGGCATTGGCTCTTGAAAAGGGCATAAAATCTAATTATGTTTTCTTTTGATACTATATTTCAATAGCTAGTAATCCCTGTGTTGAAGTACATGTCTGTCTTGTGAC